ATATAAATTTTTGATTTGAGATTCATATCAATAGCTCTTAATTTTGTTTTAATAATTAATAATTGTATATTTTTAATATTATCTATATCAATTTCCAGAGATGGTAATTTACCTTCTGTATGTAAAACCCATAAATTTGGATCTTTTACATCTGGATCTTGTAAATTATCATATATAGGACATATTTGATTAGCAAAACTTAGTTTAGGATTTCCTTTAACACCAATTATAACAGCTTCTGGTGAACAATTTTTTTTTATCAAAAAGAAATAGATGCCCAAAGAAAATTTTGATATTTATGATCATTAATATTTTTAGTAAATGGATAACTCAATGTGTTTAATTTTTTCATTAGTTCTTCACTTAAAAGAAGCATTGTTCCACTTATTAGATGAAATACAATATTATCACTTGGTATTAATTCTTTTAATTGTTGTGTAGTTAAAAAAGCTTTTTCTTTTTTTAAATGTCCAACATGACCTATTTGTTGGACCATACTTGTAACTGATAAGTATTGAACATCTTTTTCATTATAAATCCATCTTTCTGCTTCTGGTTCTTTTCTAATTTTTTTAATTGTGTTTCTCCAGTTAATATTACATTATCAACATCAGAACTAAATCTCATTTCATGATTAATATTTGCTATAAACAAAGAACCAGATGGCATTCCTTCAGTTATACCAGATATAGCAGATGAATTTGTATTATCAAATATTACAAAGGATATATCACTTTCTTCTAATAATTTAAATTTTTTTGATGTTAATTCTGATTTTAATATTGGTTTAGCATCAGTATCTTCTTCACCATTTATTTTTCTAGAATATTCATTTGCAGTTGTTCTAAAAAATATTTGTATTTTTTCATTTTCCCATTCTGTTTGATTAAAAAATTTAGTTATAGAATATACTTTTCTTGGTTTTGATGTTGATATAGAAAAGTTTTTTTTAGGAAATGTAGCACTCATTAATAAAGTATTATATTCCATTCTAATTATTAGTGGTTGTACTACTTGATAACTTGTATTTGGAAAATGTGCTTCATCAAATATAATAATAGTATTTTCTTTATCTATTAATTTTTCTTTTATTTCTTTTAAAGCTTCATCAAAATCATCATAATTTTTTTTAGGATCTTTTAATTCATTAATATTTATTTTTTACATGCATTATATCTAACTAAATGATGTAATTGTAATATTGATAATGTTGATTTTTTTGGATCAGCACTAGATTTTTTTTTATATATTGGTTTTTTTTTATTAGGTTTACCCTTATCATCATTATTATATCCAGTTAATTTATTTCATGATGCTAATTTTCCATTTTTATTATATATAGTAATTCTTTTTGATTTTCATATATGACACATTTATAAGGAATACCATTACTATATTGTAACCAGGTATTATGATGATTTTCAGCATCGGCTGCTAATTCTTTATTTAGTGTTATCAATATAATATGTTTTCAGGAAAAATACATGTAAGTAAACATCTTACTACTTTAGTTGTTTTACCACTACCTGTTAGAATAGAAAGAATTCCTGGTCCATTAACATCAACTATTTTAAGTTTTAATTCTTCATCTTTTTTGAGTTTTATAGTAGTATCATTTATTTTAGCAAAACTATCTGAATTATAACTATCATTATTATTTTTTAATGCTTCTATATTAAATTCTATTAAATTAAAAACATATGGTAATAAATATGTACCAGCTAATGATTTATCAAGTTCTGATTTTTTTTCTATAACTTTAGCACCAGATACTGTAATTTCATTAATATTTCCAATAAATTTAAAATTTTTATTTTAGCTATTTTTATTTTTTGTTTAGGTTTTTCAATTAAACTATATCCTCTTAATTTATCTTGGTTAAGTAAAGGATCTTCTCCTTTTAACCATCCATTAAGATTTTTTTCTACTAAATTCTCATCACCTTTTTTTTGAAGAAAATTATCCAAAAATTTATTCAAGAATTCTGGTGTTACTTTCTTTTTTTATTTTTCAAATTTCCATTCTGGTGTTTTATCAAGTGATTTTAATATTTTTTTATATTCATTTGGATCTAAATCATCATTATTATATTCATTATTAGGTTCATTTATTTTATATTGAAATGTATTTCTTCTATTTTTAATAACTTTTAAGAGATCTTCTTTTTTTGTACTACATGATAAAAATTTATTATCTAAATTATTTATATTATTTATTTCAAAATCTTCAGATAATGATTTAAATGTATTTCTATTTTTTTCATTAATTTTGTCAAGAATATCAAGTGATTTATTTAATTCAGATTTTTTTATTTTTAAAACATTTATTTTTTTAAAATTTCGATGTTTAATGTAATAATTTAATATTAAATTATTATTTTCATTATCCCATTCATTATTTATTGCTATTTTACATTCTTCAATAGTTAAACCAGAAAATTGCCAATTATCTTGATTTTTTTTTAGGAACATTTTCTTTATTAAAAAAATCTAACCAATCATTATCATTATCCATTTTAACGATTGTTAATAATAATTTAAAAAAAAAAACAAAGTAAAAACATATTATTTATATATCTTCTTTTTTTAATTCATCTTTTTTTTTTCTCTAATTTGATGTAAGTTTGATTTTGTATTATCTTTAAAAAAATAAGCTTCATTTAAATCTTCAATATTATAATATATTTCATTATAATATTCATCTGATAGTAAATATGGATCATCATAATCTTTAATATCTTCAATTAAAGAATTATATTTTTCATTTTCTTCCTTTTCAAACTAATGTATTAATGATTTTCTTTTTTCTTTATAGGTTTCATTTAATTTGTTTTTACTTCTACCATCAGTTAAATATTTTTTATTTAAAGAATCTATATTTTCTATAATGAATTTATCAAGAGTTTCTGGTGTTAAAAATTTATCAATATTTTTTTTTGATTGTATCATATTTTCTATTATTTTCCTTTTGTAATCTTTTTTTTCCTTTTGTTTTATCTAATTTATTTTTTATCAAATTTACAATATTATCTTTTTGATTTCTTAGTAATAATTTATTATTTATTACTTAATTTTTTAAATTTTCCAAATCTTCTTCAGATTCTAATGAATTTAATAAATTTTCAAATTGATTATATTGTTTATTTGTTAATTGTTTTAATTTTTCATTTCTTAAATTTTCTAAATCAGCAATATCATTTGATGGTAAATTTGAATTAATAATTGTTTGATGTAAATCATTACTATCAAGTAATTTTTCTGTATTTGATAAATCAATATTTTTAATTTGTTCTTTTAATTCATTAAATAAAATACTTTCTGGTTTTTCAATAGGTTTAAGATTATTAATTTTTTCTAATTGATTATTTTCTAATTTTTCTTTTTAAGATTCAGATAAAAATGAATCACTAATTATAGATTTTAATTTATTTAACTCATCTATATCTTTTGAAGTATTTATTATATTTTCTAATTCATTATATTGTTTTTCTATTAATTTATTTAATTGTTCTTTTCTTAATTTTTGTAGTTTTGGAATATCCTTTTCAGGTAAATTAGAGTTAATAATTTTTTGATAAATGTTATTATTATCATCTAATTTTAATATATCAGATAATTCAATATTTTTTATTTTATTTTCAAGTTTATTAAAATTATCAGAACTTTCAGATATTGGATCTGATATTTCTGGAACTTCTTCTTCACCTAATATTTTTAATTGTCTTTTGTTAAATTCCTTTTTAGCATCATTTGATATATTTGTTGATTCTATTAACAATTAAATAGGACCATTATTATTAATATAATTTTTACATATTACTCTTTCTGAATTTAGATTTTGTGAAAATAGACTAGAAGATTCTGGTGTAAAAAGTTGATTATGTTTTAAAGCTTCTGATATTTTTAATAATTCAACTAAATATTGGATCATATTAGTATTTTTTTTTAATTTTACTAATTTATTCATATTTTCTAACTATTTATTTTTAATAATATTTTTTTAATCATTAGAAAATAGTTTTGAATTCCAAAAAAATGGTTCATAAATTCCACCTTTCATAAAGTTTTCAAATCTATTATTTGTTGAAAAATCATCTATTAAAAACTCAATTTCACAATAATTTTGTATTTGTTGTTTTCGTAATGCTATTTGTGCATGTATATCATTAATTTCATCAATATTAAATTTAACTAATTTATTAAAATATTCATTTTTGAATAAAGAATTATATATTCTATTTGTTGTTAAAGTATTGCAATCAACTTCTGTTTCTAACATTTTTATCATTTCAGATGTACATATATTTTTATATTCTTGATTGCATTTAATTGGATTTTTCACAAATGTAGATCCTACTAATTTATAAAAATTTTTATTTTTTGTATTTGCGTTTAATTCATTAACTGTTTTAAAAATTCAATAAATGTTATTGATATTTAAATCTGGTGAAATTGATAATAAATATCTTCACCATTTAAACCAATTTATTGTTGTGAAATTTTTTATAACATCTAATCATTTTTTTTCTAAAGCAATTACTTTTTCTTTACCTATTTCATCGATTACATTTTTATTTCTTAAAAAACTATAAACAAAACCTTTATACATTAATAAATCTGAATCTTTATTATTTTCTAAAATATTATTTAAAAAATTTTCTTTATCTGGCAATTCTTTTGTTAATGAATTACAAATATTTTTTCTTATAGAATGTAATACAATACTATTTTTTTTAGTAATTCATTTGTATTAATTATTTTTTCATATTTACTAGCTTCACAATAATCTAAAATGTTTTTTTTATCATTTTCTAATAAAGATTTAAATTCTTCAAAAGACATGTTTGTAATATGTGATTCATCTTTTTTGATTTAATTATCAACATATTAAGCATATTTATTAAATGTATTAAGGTATTCTGATGATGACATTAAATCATATTTTTCAATGTAAGTATTCCAAATAATATTGAAAAGTCCATCAAAAGCATTTTTTATTTGATAAGGTTTACAAATAGATATATTTCCAGAAATACAATTACTGATAATTTTATTATGTGAATTATAATTTATACAGTTATGACATGTTGATTCAATACTCTTTATGTAAATCATCTATATGATTAATATAAGGTAAAGAGTTATAGTTGTGATTATTTTCATAATTATTGTAATTATTTATTAATTTATAAAAATATTCTATATTTGGATTAAAATTTTAAATTTGGTTGTTGTATGGATTTAATTTCATATATTGAATAAGATTTTCATCAGAATTTATAAGAATACATGTATAAGTATTTGAAAATATATTTGGTATTAAAATCAAAAAAAAGAATAAAAAAAATATTTTTATTAACAGTATTTTGATAAAGTATATTTATATATATTTTTAAATTGTTAAATTGTTAAATATTTAACTATAGGGGGCAAATTATTAACTCTTTCCGATGATCACTTGTACCAAATTTCTGCTGCAAACATTTGACTCTTACTCAATACTTTATTAAGTAAACTGCTTTTGGACGTCTAAGTAAAGTTGTTCCTAACACAATTTTACACTTAGGCGGCCAAGTTTT